CAATATAGGTATATACTAAGTTTCAGTCTTTCTAGTGTTAAAAGCTATGCTTCATCTTCGTTTCCATTTTTGTTGGTTTACGGCACGCGATTTAATATATGATACTTAATATAATTATGTAATGAAATAGATACCGGTTCGTGAATAATTTCTTCCATCCTATTTAACATACAATTAATTTCCTGTTTTTCCTTACACTCATTAAACTTCTCAGATCTACTCAATATTGAGAGATCTACGATTGGAAGGGATTTGTCGCCTTTTTCATCTCGCATCGATATTAATTCTTTTGATTTAACTCGTTTCACAATGACCTGTTTGTTTTACTTATGTAATAAGACTATCGATAGAAAAACAATGTAAAACGCTAATTGATACCTCCTTTCTCGATTTGTCTACGATTTTAACTATTCCTGCGACGTTCAGATTTCTGAATAAATCTGCGACGAACGTCTCGTAAGCTCGCAGCCTTTTCATTAACGCCGCTTTCGCAGTTCTCTCGTTCTTCACGGACGCCTCGGTTAATTCCAAGTCGCGGTCGAGTCGATTGATCCGCGCTACCAGCTGTTGATTATGCAGCAGCAGAAACTGAATCTGATACAATCGATGAAATTCCTAAAAACTCTTGCGGAAGAATCGAGTTTTCGTCAAAGGCAGTAGCTGCTTTATAAGCAAGAATTAGAAATGTGGTCCTCGAGGGCTACGGACATTGAATGGGAAAGCTGAGTGGGAAGAAAAAAAAAGGGCCCGATAATTCTAGCTACGCCACTATCTAAAGGAAGGCATCGATTTTCAAATAAAATCCGAAGGAAGTAGAGGAGGAATTCAAAAATAGCTGGTACCCTATTGGTGGTGAACGACGTCGATTTCATGCAGAATCGACACGTCCTCTGACGTTGATCCTCGAACGAGTACCCGCTTGGACACGATCGAAGGACATCGTCCACCGATTTACTCGACCCGAGTCTCTTTCCTTTGCACGTGGTCATCGACGCGATTAGAGCCCCGTGACCCTCGTGGACAGGAATGCCATGCTGGAAAATCGTGTTCTCCATTCATATTTACTGGTAACCGGAAATTATGAGTTCGCACGCGACTTACGCTACGTGGTGTGCTCGAGTTTCGCTCGTGGGGATGCACAACCGGTGGCATCGTGAAACGGAAGTAGGAACTCGTTCCCAGGATCTCAATTTCTTTGCTCACGTACACGAATTGGTAATCGACGTTCGACAGCGCCTGCAATGATTACCCAATCTAAATGTTACGATGGGATAACACGGAAAATTGATTCTCAGTTCAATTTTAAACGTTCATTTTCGTTGTCGATTACTATTCCTATTTGTATTTCGTATTTTTGTTACAACTTTTTTAACAAAGCTCTATGCGATATACGTTTTTATAACATTTTTTTCTCATTTCATGTCATACTGACAAAGTTTCAATATTAGAACCTGGAACACCTTGTATATCTCTCGTTCATGTAAAATAATTTGAATTGAAATAACCTCGCGATTAAAATTACGGGGAAACGTGATACTGCGATTGTGCTCAGTCAGTGCCTTCGGCGACAGGACGACGTATTCAAAAGTGAGGTACTGTTGCAGATTGGTCCATCCCCTCGGATAGATTCCGATCCAATCGCGCGACGACGTGGAGACCTCGAATATTTGATTAGAATATACGTGTATTCGAATCGAGAAAATTAGGTGCTCGCTGTATAAGTAAATCGATAAGGTTTTCCTCACTGCATAGATATCTTTCAACGTGTAATTGACAACCACGTCCTCGTCGATATTGTATTTCGTTTTCAATTTCTCAAATTGTATTCCATTCGCGTAGCGGCAGTAAATCGTGCTATGTGGACAGCAATACATTTCGCGGATATTTGTATTTGTGTCTCTTTACTTTTTTACATTAGCACTTGTATTTATGTAACGGAAGTCAAGGTGCCGAGGAAGAGATCGCGAGCAATCGTTCTGAAAATAGCTGATCTAGCAATCTGTCTACTATTTCACGATGATTTCACGGTTAATCGGGTCACGGTGAAATTAATTAATCGATAGAAGAACCTCGTACTCGGTTTATCGCTATTAATTAATGAACGATCATAAGCTCGTTCTACGTCGTATACGACGTGCGTAATAATCGATCTGAAATTTCGCATTGCGTATTTTATTATCAGGGAAAACCTGAATGGGAGAGAGTGAATGAGCCCCTCGTATAACGTTTACACGCGTGCCAGCATCGATTGAGAGGAATGCAACAACAGCCGCCATCTGTTAGAAAGGCGAGGGCGTTCGTGGAAACCCATACAGTGAAATCTGCGAAAAGCGTATCGAAAAATCGATCAAGAATATAAATTTCGTTATTCTCTACAAAATTTACAACTGTGAATCGTTCGTATCAAATCGCACGTAATTGAAAGCTCCATTCCATTTCACGATTTTGTTATACGAAATCGAATTACACCGAATATTGAATACTTAATTCCTTTATTTATCACGATGAAAGGCGTTTTGACTTTGCCTACATCAGGTATCTTAAAATCACAGTCACATTTATCGCAAGCTTCACTTATTTTGCTTCTTAAAGCATAAATCGCAGCGACTTATCCTAATCGAAACCTGAACTCCATATCGAAATGCGAGTGGCGCGTCATAAAATGTGTCGCCAATCGAAATTTAATAGAATTAAGAAAAATCGACGTAATTTCCATCGGAGACTTTTCCATCGATTTTTAATTCACGTTGGCGGTCTTCCGGTACTCTTGCGAGCTACCTCGGGTTTAAGGACCGCACCAGTCGTTCTCAACGGTTATTCAAAACCTGCCGCCGGAGATACCGTACGCAGAGTGCATGCGCTGCGTGGATCGTTACCGGATTCCGATTGGTGGACGCTCGAGTCGGCCTGCTGGAGTGCACGCGCGGCGCTCAGACGCCGTACTGATCGCCTCGATGACAAGGCCGTCAGTTACCGTTCGTGCACGAATGCGACTAAACACCCGGGCGTCTTGGCGGGTTTTCGCTCGGAGCTGCTCTCACGAGACCAGCTCGACAACGAGGAAACGTAGGTGACGTTTCAACGAGGCGAAGGAGACGAGAGAAAGCGAGTCGCAGATTTCGGGAGGATCGTAAAGGAGGCTGCGGGTCGGAACGAGGGAGAGGGCTCCGAGAGGCAGAGGACGGGCGACGAGGAGGATCCTGTCGGGATCACCTGGACCTGTATTTTAGTCCAGCTTCGGTCGCGCTGATAGGCGGACGCATTCGCAGGTGAGTGAGCCAGCCGTGTGTTCGCGTACACGTATAAACGACGCGTCGGCGCGACCAAGCACGCGGCTTTTGCTTCGTCTCGCCGCCTTCTCGTTCGACGATGTCAGCCACGATTCTTACGAGAAGGAAATTATCCCGTTCGCGAGCTGCCCGCAGGACACGTAGTCCTGCGCGACCGGAGCGCTTCGTCTTCGTGCTCCTTCGCCACTTCCGTTGTTATCCTACCGTTTCCTCGCACTCGAGTGCGACTCGATTCTCGATTAGGGAATATCCGACGTATACATTTGACAGCGAGCCGACTAGATTGTACACCGGAGCTACCCGAGACACGAGTCGTTATCGATGCTCTCCTCGATCGACTTAGAAACGCGCTTAGGGAAGACCGATTGCATAAACCTGGACGAGCGTGGGCGAGCTGAGGAGAACCTCTGCGCTTTGAAATATTCAACGAATTTATTTGACCGATCGAACGTCACGTCGAGTCGTTCATCGCATCGATCCACGAGCGAATAGACGATTACACAGATGAGCGAATCGTCACGGTGTCAGAGATCAACGGAAAATCGAGTGACTTTTTTTTTTTTCGTTCAGACGTGTTCATCGACTTCGCTGGGTACATAGCGGAAGACCCTCGCCCGCGACCTTGATCGCGGAGCTGCTAGTATAGCGCTCGAGCCGCGCGCGTCGATAATTCCTGTCGTGCATTCTCCGTCTTCGTATTCGTCGTCTTCGCGCCAATCCGCTCGTGCCCCTCGCGCTCAGCTGTGCGCCCGTCGCCTGTTTGCAACGTGCTCCTTTTCGAGTCTCGCGGTAAAAACCGATCGCTCAAGTGTAAACGCGTTCATATCCGAGTTCCAATGTGAAGTCCGTAGGCGTCTTCAGTCCGATGGTCCTATATTATATTATAAGCAGCCCAATATTCTTACGTTCAAATCGATGTATATAAATATATTGCTCGATTTACTCGTCCTTTCGTTTAGACAAATATTTATCGATCTCTAATACGGTTATCACAAGCCGAAATTGTGTCCAAAATATTTGATGAGACAAGTTTCAGTCGGAAACGAAAGAAGGCTGGCTCTCATTGTTCTCTAGCAATGAGTTTCTGCCTCTATCCGAGAATTCCCACAAAGTTCAGCAGCGTGGAAGACGCTATTATCAAAAATTCAACTGTTTACGCTATAAATTAAACCCACATCTCTGCTCACAAAAGCCAACAACAACGAACATTGTTTCGTCGAAATGAAACCCGCATTTTGACAATGCGCCGCGATAAAAAATGAATGATGATTTATCCCAACAGACAAGGGGAAGAATGGCAGTGGAATACTATGGAGGTCAATTAGCTGCACGTTTGCTCGAGGCAAAGCGCGCCTTTGCGGTTTCCCTTGTTCCATTTGAAAAGTTCGATGGACTACATTCCCGTTGTCGAGCTTTCTCAAAAAGATTCACGGAGGTACATACAATGGGCTATGGCAAGGCAAGCGTGTAACAGTGTTCTGTATTGTGCGCTACGCGAATCGCACAAAGCGACATTGCACAGTCGTAATAGCCTGTAATGTACACGGATCTTAGGAAAACAATATGATTAACTGGAGCCGTAGGGATCAATCGTTCGGCAAATATTGAGAAGTAAAGCAGATCGATAGTCGAGCCTGAAATTTCGAGAGACAAAACCAACGAAAATCCGAGTACTTTAAGTTACCTCTTTATTCCAATCGTGGTCTTTGAATAGTTCATTTTTTAGATGAAACGTATGGGAATATTTGAGGACACTTTCCCGGCATAGAGAGATTCTTCATATTTTAAAATCGCCAACAGGGGAGGTCTATTAATTAAAAACGAGCACAGTTAATTACATTGCTCTCACCGGTTTTCACAGAGAGATTTCATCCGCGCAATAATATATCGCGATTCGATATTAATTTAACGAAAGAAATAGATTGTTATTCTCTTTGGAGTGTACAGTCCCACCAACATCTAAAATTATTAACGATTACTAGTTATATGCAATATTTTATATTAAAGAAAACTTATTACTTAAGAAAATATTTTATATTAATTTGAATATCTCTAAACGAATGTTTCCTGTTTCCATTTGGAGTTTATAGTCACATTAATTTCTAAGGCTATTAGCGATTACTGGGTGTTAAATCAAAATCTGGATAAAATTTCTGAATCCGATGTCGTTGATAAACAAAATCACTGTAGTTGAATTGCTGACAGCTTCTCTCAGGTCTGTTGACACCTTGAATGAATTCCTTACGTTACTTAGCGATGGGTAGTCTTGAGGAATATGATGAATTGTTATACAATTATACAGTGAGTACATTCTTTGAGTATCACGCGACGTCAGCTGACTATGGATTAATTNCTTGTTCCATTTGAAAAGTTCGATGGACTACATTCCCGTTGTCGAGCTTTCTCAAAAAGATTCACGGAGGTACATACAATGGGCTATGGCAAGGCAAGCGTGTAACAGTGTTCTGTATTGTGCGCTACGCGAATCGCACAAAGCGACATTGCACAGTCGTAATAGCCTGTAATGTACACGGATCTTAGGAAAACAATATGATTAACTGGAGCCGTAGGGATCAATCGTTCGGCAAATATTGAGAAGTAAAGCAGATCGATAGTCGAGCCTGAAATTTCGAGAGACAAAACCAACGAAAATCCGAGTACTTTAAGTTACCTCTTTATTCCAATCGTGGTCTTTGAATAGTTCATTTTTTAGATGAAACGTATGGGAATATTTGAGGACACTTTCCCGGCATAGAGAGATTCTTCATATTTTAAAATCGCCAACAGGGGAGGTCTATTAATTAAAAACGAGCACAGTTAATTACATTGCTCTCACCGGTTTTCACAGAGAGATTTCATCCGCGCAATAATATATCGCGATTCGATATTAATTTAACGAAAGAAATAGATTGTTATTCTCTTTGGAGTGTACAGTCCCACCAACATCTAAAATTATTAACGATTACTAGTTATATGCAATATTTTATATTAAAGAAAACTTATTACTTAAGAAAATATTTTATATTAATTTGAATATCTCTAAACGAATGTTTCCTGTTTCCATTTGGAGTTTATAGTCACATTAATTTCTAAGGCTATTAGCGATTACTGGGTGTTAAATCAAAATCTGGATAAAATTTCTGAATCCGATGTCGTTGATAAACAAAATCACTGTAGTTGAATTGCTGACAGCTTCTCTCAGGTCTGTTGACACCTTGAATGAATTCCTTACGTTACTTAGCGATGGGTAGTCTTGAGGAATATGATGAATTGTTATACAATTATACAGTGAGTACATTCTTTGAGTATCACGCGACGTCAGCTGACTATGGATTAATTTCATGCGATTAATTCTTAAACTAGTTAGTACCACATGATCTCTTTTATTCGGTTCAACTAGCAAAAGCGTTTCCATATATGTTACGTAAGAATTTCTGAAAGCGCATCAATTTTCCTGACAATGTTTATTTGTTAGAAAATGTTTGCAGTCTCTATGTAAGATTAGAATTATACATTTTACATTTTATATACATTATACGAACATATATTTATTCTTCGCATAGAAATAATCTCAAATTGACTGCGTCCGCCAGAAAATTATGACTGTTTCAAATTTTCTTACCCGGATCTTTAATTCCACAACCTCGCATTTCATTTATCCGTGTGCCTATCAAACGATAATATAACGATCACAATTTGGAGTCACGCGACGTCGTGAAAGAGTCGTAATAAACGTTATTAGCCGCCGGTTAAAATCCCCGTTTCGTCACTTATCCGTCGAACGACGTTTTATTTCCTTTGCCCCGGTTTTCACGTATCGAGACGATAACTATCGCACCGGGCAACGTCACCAGTTGATAATCCGCTCGTTAACTCGCGTTTGTCATTTATCACTACGTAATAGAGGCGATTCGAAAAGGTGTTCGCACACCGATAGCAATCAATGGCTAGGCTAACCATGAACGATAATCGGAGCATGACTGGGTACGGTGAATCGAATCGTTCGATTACACGGATCGCTTCGGCCAAATTTGGCCAGTTTTACGTAAATTGTTCGCGGTTCACCGCAATGGCACTGCCTCACCTTCGTACCTTGGACTTCGTACGGAAAACCTAGAAAAAAGGGTCACGGAATTGGATCCCAACGAAGTAAGGGAAATGTTTCAATTTCTATTCAGCCAAGCATGATTTCCCTGTCAGTTGAACGTAAAAAACATTGTATATAATGAAAAGTACTTTCAAGGAATTTAATATACATTCAGATGAGTGTGGCAAGAAATTATTTTCAAGTAACTTTTCCTGTTAAGTAAAGGCTTGAAGTACTGTTCGTATTTCTATTCTAATGTTCGCATAATGTTCTATTCAAATGTGTAACAGTTCTGTATTCGAATAATCTTTTTACAATTTTTTTAAATTATACAATCGTGCATGGCAACGTTGAAAAATATTAAAAACACTTTATATATTTTATATATTTATTATGTCAAAAATTGTAGAGAAATGTAGTGAGTAGAAATTGGAACGTGAGTAGGAATTGGAACATTTACGTTACCTTAGTTATTTCCGTCGTCGATGCTATTGAATGGCGAGCGATGCCATTGAAAGTTGAACGAGAAACGTGAATTCGACAATAGTAGATGACCGCGTTCTACCGAATCTAAAACCAGTCGTGAAAAGTACTTAAAATTGAATTTAATTCGCCAGGTCGTCCATTAGCAGAATTAGCAGGAGTTAATATAATTAAAAACACAGCTCGTAATAATTTTCACGTAAGAACAAGTAAGACGCTTTTAAAGTGCAGATTTCAGTCGAAGGTTTCATTACCAGGATTGTTAGAGGTTTCATAATTTCGCGGTGAATCCAGGTACAAAGGAGATCTCCGGTAGCGGCGCGATGCTTATTGAAACGGAACGATATTCTACCGAGTCGGTTTAATAAAAATATAAAAGACACGCTCGCACGTAGTATTCGCTTTCTACGATGAAAATTTGAACGACTCCGTATATTAATCCGTAGATTGGAGGCTCGTGTACAACTTCGTCACAAAGAGCTCGCTAGTTCTGCCACTGGCCAGAATAAATTGAATGCCCTATCCTATACCGTCCGACCGGCAGAGGATCTTCCATTAAAAGGATTCTAAACAAATTGAACCAACCCCAACCTCTTGGAACAATTAATTAGAATCCACCTTGCTGTTATACATTTCCCGAAGAGTTTGTGCTATCGATCTGATTAGATAAGCGCGTTCCCACGTGAGGTCTGACCAACGGGAAATTGGTAAACGTCCGTGGTTCATTCTCAAGATACTAAGATCAGGCTGATTGTGTAGGGGTCACTCGTTGATAATAATTTGGGTCATGCATTTTCGTTTGATCCATGGTTAACGTTTATACGATGTACCTTTAAAAAATCGAGGCAACGATATCCGATCCTCCTATTGTATTACATCCTCTTTCAGTTATCGAATTTTCCGTGTTGAACGATCCAGTCGTTCTGGTAGCCGACGTATTTTAAGGACGTTTTGGCTATACAGTCAATCCCAAAAGTTTATGCACTTTAGAAACGCATTTTTTTAAAAGAAACCAGACGTCGGAAGAACATTGCTAATAATAAAC